AAACGCACTGTACAGCGTTTTGTTCTATATTTCAATTAACATTTACTAGTGGTAGGACCTCTTTTGAGTCCGCACGTGTAGGTACCACCACCCTGCCTATTTCTGCCGTGAAGCAGTAATGCGTTTCGGTTTGAAGGGCAGGGCAGCCGTTGTAACTATACTGAGACCTTAGAACTTATATCTCAAGGTGGGTGGCGCATTTACGTTGTAGATGTCTATGGGCTCCAGTAACCACTTAATATCACGTGGGCTGTGAGCTCGTCCACTAAGCAATAAAAAAAAACCAGTATCCCAGTTATCAAACTATTATGAGAACCATAGCTGTAATAAATAAATAAATGTGATTTGCCGTCCAGTCTGTTGATACTAAATCGATAATTTCAATTCCTAGCTCCCAGGCAATCCAGGTGACCAGGTCAGGGCTCTGCGTAGGTCAAGCCGGGTCACCTGTGAGATCTTCCACGAGGTACATTGAATAAAGCACAGTGTTTCACTTAATTCAGTGCATTGTTTTATGACAATACTCATGAAGTTAAAACGTACTGAATGACAATTCTTTGACTTTTTGTTTTTTAAATATTAAGCTATGTGCTTATTGGTGAATTATTTCTATGCTTTTGGTACAACAAACATAAGCCGTTTAAATCTCATTACCAATTGCTTATCTATCATCTGTTAAATGTATCTGAATATTCTTTCTTAAAAACGTTTGAGAACTCTGAGTTTCTCGTCTCGTATGTGTATCTCACTCATAAAAAGACTAAAAACATAGCTGGGTGCTTAATGAAACGTAAGTACATAATTTTATATCTAACGTACAGAGAAAATGGAGGAGTTTAAATATTCGAATAGTTTAACACACATGTATGCTATAAAAAGCTAGACCACAATAAAGGCTTCGATGCCAATTATCTCACACACACACAGAAAGGACACATTAAGACATTAAATGTTGAACTCTCGAACGTTGAACCCTACGGTCGTTGACCTGCACAGGTAAAACTTGAAACAATTCAAGGAGAAAAGCAATTAGTCAATTCCTAAGTAAATTATTTAAAATTGCTCTATCCTGCATTTATTGTGTCCTGTAGTTGCTAAGTGTGAACGTATTCTTTTTGAATTATGACTTTCGAATACATAACTTCTTCTATTCGGATAATATTATACAGTGAACATAACAGTAAAAATAAACAGCTTTAGATTTTATTACAAATTTCCTCATACTAGTTAAACAATAAAGCTTACTGTGTTGTTACTCTATTTTGAACGTAAATTTTAAACGAGGCCAAAATAATGAGTCATCAAACTAAGACGTGTTCTAATTTTTCTCGAACAGTGAAAACAGTTCTTATTTCCTTATTTATTTAGCGTAAACCCATTTATTAGGGACGCAAATAGTAACAATATGTAATAAGCTCCCACAAACATTTGACTACCAAATCGGAAACTAGACCAGAATAATTTTGTTACAATTCCGAAACTTCATAAGAGGCATGGAAGTGTTCGAATAATTAAATGATCCTAACAACGTTAACGGTTAACCGTAAAATTTAATGAAGACTTTGATTTATATCCATTGATTCGGTAGCTCTTAACTAGTGCTCAGAAAATTGGGGGAAAATAAATAATGAAACGCCGACAAGTGCGGCTTAAGATTCGGAAAATAGGTTTGCGGCCGAATTTATTGTTGCTTTAACAAAATCGTTTCTATTGAGTAAGGCTCGTGTAATCACTATAAACCATTTTAGGAACTGTTACACAAACCTCGAATCCGTTTAAATTAATTTTAACAAATGGAAAGATGTCTACTTGTTTGTTATTTTCTGATCTACAAAGAAATTTTCTGGTACAGTACTACGTTAGCGTGTGTGCTAAGTAACGCGCCAGGGTTTCAATATGGAGTCACTTCATACACTCAGCAACAGTGATATCGTAGCGATTCCACGATTATCAACACAATACATCAACTAGACAAGAAAACCAACAGGTTTTTTGTTAAAAACAACTAATAAGGTTTTGAATTAAAACTCAATGATTAAGAAACTTAGCAAACGAAAGTTTATTGGGGCTTTTATACATTACTAGCTGACCCGGCAAACGTTGTTTTGCCATATATAAGATTTCTAGGGAGTTTCTAGTGTAGAAAAAAAAAACTAACTTATTGTAAGTGTGTAAGGATATGGTAGATGAGTGAAAGAGGCATGTAGCGCTGTGAACGATGAAGGAATATAAAATAACAATACCTCATTCAACCACATAATGTCTCATCATAACAAAAAAAATATGTCAAAAAAATAAAAAAATAATCTTAGGGGTGGACAACCCTTATCACTTAAGGGTATGAAAAATAGATAGTAGCCGATTCTCAGGCTTACTGAATATGCATAAAAAACTTCATGAGAATCGGTCAAGCGGTTTCGGAGGAGTATGGGAACGAACATTGTGACACGAGAATTTTATATATTAGATTAACATCTAAATTATTGGTAATATGTGACCTTGGCGACTAGCCTTCGGACGCATGATGGCTATATCCGTGACTTGACAATACGACAAGGACCCGTCTGTAAATCCCCCAGGAGCGTGAAACCTTCGTCTCGTTATTGAATGCGTCACGTTACAATAATGCGATAAAGGTCAAATATAAATCATTCAGTTTGTTTATTTTGCCCGATGTGCGGGATATAGATTACAGATTACACCTCAGTAGACGTAACGTGTACTCGTGATAACAATGTCATTCATTTATGCCACAATTTCAATTAAGATAACCATCGGTAGATTTCCAGATTTAGTCTGTTTTGGGGCAAAGGGAATTCCGCCCACCGGTTCAACTGGTGAACTTTCTAAAAACACCCACTTGTCTACTGCCCGAGTCTTCTTATCTTGTTACTTAATAACACGAAAATTCTCTGTTTTTATTTTATTATGTAATGAGATTATGGCAATAAATAGAATTGTACTGACATTAGCGTAAACTTTAGCTATGTAGGCGTTATTGAAGCTGCGTCATCGACTGTCGTTTACAAACGTCCCGTAAACATTGTATCATCTGGCCAGAACATAATAACAATAATCTGTACAGCTTCCCGTTACTAACCCGTGAAGGTCAGATTGGCTTATCGAAAATGAGTGAGGGATCGAATTGAATTACTTACTTCAGGCATCACGTGTACAAACGCGTGAAAGACAGTTGGATTTTCATGATACATTTAAAAGATTCACCGGCGATGACTTCTGAAATATAGATGACGTCACGTCCTGAACAATAAAATATTTATTTAAGTAACATTTAATAAAGCTTGAATCGTGAACGTCACATGGAAAACGAATTTAAATTAGAAATTTCTTTTGGCAGCGTCGTACAAAACTGTCGACTGAATAATGTTATCATTTGGCGCCAAATAAAAATAATGAAAGACAAACTCTTCGCGGCTACATCTGGTGCTCGGAAGTGGCACTGCCAACTTCGTAGTAAGCTAACAGTAGGTATTTCGGATGACATTTATGAAATTCGCCAAAACACTACTGAAATACTCATAACAAAATCATTGGTAACGATCTTAACGAATCATAAAGATATATCTGCTTGATAGAACTATATATTTTACTGAAACAAACTGATATTATTATTTGATTCCATAATCAATCATTTGTTGTTACTGAATGTTTTGGGGCATCTTACTTATTTGTCAAAACATTAGCCAAAAGAAAATAATGAGTAATAGAAAATCCTGGTTGTTTAATGTTGTTTCTTAGGGTTATTCAACCAGCCTGTGGGTAGTCGTTGACGTAGGTGGACAACTCCGAGCTATAAATATTGCGTGTGTCTCTGCTTGTATACCTGTCACATTAAAAGGTTATTTTCAAGCACAAACCGCACCGTAAAGTAAGCTTAGATTCTGTGAACATTAGCGAGAGCAAACCGCAGACATTTTGAATCAAACCCGGAACTAATTCTTCGTTTGTTTATTTCATTCATGGGCTAAATTAAGCGCCGCGAGATGCGTTGAGGTAGGAGTTCTGGGTTATCGTATTTCTGCTGGTTTTAATGTTGAAATTCATTAAACACAAAACGGCCTTTAACTTCGATTTTTTGATTATGAATTTACTAACATAAACCTCATTTTAGCTTGTTCTTTGCCTCTTAATCTCAACGAAGGACTAGAAAATTTTACTTAGACAGAAATTTTAAACAATAAGAAAATGTAGATATTAAATTGCTTAATATATAAACGATTCTATTATTAAGTAGGAATTCAGCCAAACATTTTATCATGGAAATGTGAAGTGACGTATTCACTAGATCATTAGCCAGGAATACTATGCGTCATTTGTAGCGAACCGTCACTAATGAATGAAACTGAATACTGAACGGATACAAGATTACTTCAGTGATTGAAAACATGATTACATGAACTTTTGACGTCATTTGTGGATAATGTTCTGCCTATGTTTATGTTGGCTCACACAATTATGGACGCCCAAATGGTAAAAGTTGTAACTAAAAATGTAATAGCGTAGGCAAATTTCAGTTTGTTTTTATCTATTTTTACACACATTGTGTTTTCAAAATTGCCGCGTATCCGTAAAATGGTGTCCACAAGTGCTTACCGTGCGAAGCCTATTCACACTATTTAACATTTACAGTGGTTTTATAGGCCGTTTTCCAATTACATCACAAGAGCGCATTATGCGGCATAATGCTCAACTAAGCTTCAGCATAATTCGGCATTGTGCGTCACTGAGTCGCATTATGCTCTGTAATTAACTATTACTTAATGGTAGTTTTCCAATTACAGAGCATAATGCGACTCAGTGACGCACAATGCCGAATTATGGTGAAGCTTAGTTTGAGCATTATGCCGCATAATGCGCTCTTGTGCTGTAATTGGAAAACGGCCATAGTCTATACTAAACGTGTATCGTAAGTGCACCACTTACTACATATAACACGTTCATTAATAAATAAATAAAAATATTACGTATCGTTGTTGCAGATTATATAAGAAAAACATGAGGGACGAACGGGCTAATGTACCGCGAGTCCGGATTGCCGTCATCGGGAGTTCCAGAGTAGGAAAATCAGGTGAGAATATGAACGGAGAAGGGAGATGGTTTGCCTATAAATAAATAAAAAAAACTGTTTTTTTGCAAAATTCCAAATAGAATACTATTAATAAATATAAAAGAACATTTGTGGGAGTCTTGCATTAATTTCTGGTACTACGTCAAAATAAAAAAAACTAAAGTGCACACACTTTCAACTGAATCTGCTAAACGACTCACAAAAATGTTTACATCTAAAATCCGAAAACCTAACAAGTAAAGCCAATAACAAACAATTAAATGTTATGGACTAGAATATTTTTCTGTGTACAAAAAACATATCCGTAAAAATTTTAGAGGAAAAATGGAATGGAATGAAGACTAACATATTTAGGACGAGCATATGAATAAATTAACGAAAACACGAGATCCCAGCTTTGTATGTTAATCTTACCTCGTGACCTAAAAGCCTAAAAGTGTCCATCATGATTTCATATATCATAATAACACAAAAATACAACAATAAAATTCAAGCTTAATTCTAAACTAGCTGTGAAACCCTTGCAAAAGGTTGACCATTGAGTGAATATACGTGGACAATAAAAAAAGTACTTAATATGTAAAATAGTTATCTAACATAAAATATACATCCGGCAACGAAACAGATACGCATATATCCCTAGCAATGGGAATAATTTCCCATTTTCTCTCAAACCCTACTTTATTTTCTTAATAAACCTTCCCAATGATTTCTACCTGGACTTTACAATCAGAAGCTTAACAGAGATGATGGAAATCATGCGGTGGGAGAAGAATTTAAATGGATATTGAAGTTACAAAAATAAATATTTCACTGAATCATTTACAAAATTCCTTTGTGAATCCTCAAAGCAAAGTACTTTATTAAAACCAACGTCAGACTGGTCCGATTGTAATTGTAAAAATAAAATCACAGAAACTAGATGAGCTATTATTCCGTCTCTATTATTGGAAAGTGATGCAATTGTTTGTTTTATTTATAATCAAACAACCTCAGTCCATCAATCATTCTACGCGGAAACTTAAACTTTTTTCTCACGCTTTGTTCTTAATGTGTTTACGTGAATGAATCATTTAATTTCCCGTCGAAAATCTCAGTCTAGTCGATTTCATTGATACTCAAATTCATTTTTTTACCGAGCTTTCTCTTTGTTACAGCTCTCATTGTTAGATACCTGACTAGAAGATACATAGGCGAATACCATTCAAATACAGGTGAGCTAATAACTTTTAAACGACTTTCCAGTTTATGGTAAATATTTTTTATTTTATTTAGTGGATAATGAATATTAGGCAAGCCACAGACATAATAAAAATTACTTTTACGATTCGATCTTGCATTTAATGTTTTTTTCATTTTACGTTTCAAATACTTAAAAATTTCATGGTAAAAGTAACTAACTGGTTACCGACTATAAAAATGAAACCGAAAATCATAGCACGCGACGAAATTTGGTAAAAGTAGTTTTATTGAAGCAATTCATAATAAAAATAAATACTCTAAGCAATCTCTTCACTTGCATATATTTCATGTATCTATAATAAATATATTATTTGTTCTAGATCTCCTGTACAGGCAGACAGTGCCAATAAATGGAACCCCTGTCGAATTAGAAGTGATCGACGTCTCTGGATCGAATTCAGACAAATTCCCCACTGAACAGGTAAACATCTAAATTTTACATAAATACTCTTTCAGCGTGTTTGCGAAATAAAAAAGTGGGTTCGATGAAGTTTCGTAAACACTGGCCGTTTTAAAATTTTTAACCATATACCTGTTTTTAAAACGAATAACGGTTTCGAATTTAGAATGTTTCTGTATAAATATATAATATCATTACATCGATACGGGTAAGATTAAACAGACTTCATTTTATTGTCAGGAATTTATTGAGAATCATAAAAAAAATGCTGGCTCAAAATTCGGCTATCCAAGAATATCGATATTGATACAGCATCAACAAAACGGTACCGTTACTTAACCTTCCCTTTCTTTAAATAACAGCATTCACAAAATGCCAATTAGATTAAGAAGGCTCCAGAAACCATAAGTGTAAGGATTTTTATCGTATTTTTAAAGCCTTCGCAACGTTAAAATGATACTAAAATTGACTACAAATACTCGCACTCGCAAAAGTTCGTAATTATTTGATCCAGTGTTCATCTATAACATAACATCTTAAAATTTTTGTTCATTTAAATATTACTTTTTCTCTTTTGTTTTGTTAATTACTGGCACAAGTAGGAAAAAACCTATTTCCATTGATAATATTAAATCTGGTCAATAGTTACTAACAAAAAAATAAGAAAATCAATAGATAAACAGAATTAAAATAGGTACTGAGTTGTTTTGTATATTATATACCTATATATATTATGCTTGAAAGCTATAATATCATGATACAAATAAAATCCTGCTAAACGCTACTGATGCTGGTAAAACCTTCGAAATTCAAACACCGATCCACAAAGTTAGAGTGGATTTCTTAAATGGCGTCTACATGGATTAGCTCGGAACATTCTAGAAATCCACAAAAGGATTATCAAGCAGTAACTTCTGGAAGCAAACATGCGACTTTCGAAGTTCCAAATCGTTTCACGTCCTAGCAACTAGGTTAATCGCCGCGAATATTATACTACAGGAATGAAACGACTTCAGAATCGTTCCAGTGACCTGAGCTGCCCGTGAGTCATGATGTTTACAGTGCTAAATTACATTGGCGATACGATCTATAGTTGTGGCTTACATTTGGTAATCGTCTTAAAAACAAAACAGTACAATAAAAAAAATCAACAGCGTAATTTAACACTCGGAGTTGTTCACAATGGGAAAATCTATTTTCTTTTTAAATTTAAATCATAGCGATGCTTTCAAAATATTGTTTACAATTGCAATCACAACTCCGCGATATAAACTATTATGATAAACTAGCCAATTGACATTTAAATGGAATGGTCAAATAATTTTAGCCTGTGAATAAAAATTTATTAAATATTAAACATCTTTGGCCTAAGGTAAGGCAACGCATTCTCGTATCGAGACAAAACCCTTGAGGCAAATAAAAGAGATACCAATAAAATACGAAGAAAACACGTGCTCACGAACGACTTCCTCTATCACTCACATGAGGTTCGGTAACCAATAAACTCCAATAGCTCATCTGCCGATTTTGAATAAGGCAATAAACGCATTCTTGTTTTAAGAAAATAATGTTAATTATTTAATATGTCACAATTACGTAAGAAGATACATATATATAACGTACTAATTCTAAAACATCAATTACCGTGAACCTGAATCATTTCAAGCTCCTACACACGGACGTAGTTGTATAAGAAGATCTTTACATTTCAACTTACTTGCAAGCACACACCCAGTTTTATTTATGCTTGAGCTCATACTCTTTCTCTAATGTATCATTGTTATTGTGAAATACTGCGATTTTTTTAGTACAAAAATTGAATAAATGTTGATGACGTCGTGGTAAAATTGTCGTGATTTACGGTATGCCTTTACCCATACGATGTTTCGCCGTTGTGAATGGTGAATCGTTCCGGAGTGCGTGTCGACCGTGTCTCGGCGTGGGAGCGCCCGTGAATCGCTCCCCCGGCTAATTTTATGCAGGAATGTTGGCTCCGACTCTGTAATTAATCGCGTGAATTCTTCTCCGTCTAGTCTTTTCATGTTTAGCATCCTGTGTATCGTTTATTACAAAAATATGCCAATATAAGCACCATTCAAATGTCGTTGAGCAAATTTTCTCCGTAATTGTATTTCGTGGTTCAGAGTATTTGTCGTGTACATTTCACGTCATTACGGATCCACCCGATCCATTAACGGAGCTTTTAGGTACCACAAGCAGAAGGTACGTTAAGGGAAAGCTGAAATAGCATCGCAAGGCTATCAGCATTGGTAGGGAAAAAAAAACAAAAAGTGTACAAACATCAGTTTTACGAAATACCTATCTTCCCGACTAAAATTTGTCAGTGTCATCGAGTATTCGGAACTTCAAAATGTTCTCATTACCTCTTTAATGTTAAGACTTTAAAATTAAACTAATCCTCCTTGTTCCAGATACAATGGGCAGACGCCTGCCTTCTCGTGTACGCTGTGACAGACAGGAGCAGCTTTGAATACGCCACAGAAGTTTTGAATGTTTTAAAACGCACTCCTAGCAACGGCAGCCCCGCACATGGAACAACAGTAACATCACCGAGCATGCCCTTAGCACTGCTCGGGAACAAAACTGACCTAGACCATTTGAGACAGGTAAATCCAAATTTCTTTCTTGATTCTGATTTAATTATTTTCAAGTTAACGTCTTACGTAACTAATCCCAGTGGACTCAATAAAACAACGGTACTCTATTTTTCACGTTAATATTTAAATAGCCATTAAAGCGCTTTGTATTATTTACTCGAAAATAAGTTTTACTGTCGTTGACTTGATTACGAATATTTATACCGGTGAACCACGAGCGTATTAGCTTCTAAAATATCCCAATTAATCGTAATTAGAAGTTTGATTACTGAAATACGCTCCCCTTATATATATATAACTTAATAACTCAATTAATGTGTCTCCTGAAGCAGACTCTCGAGAGACAACAGTAACGTTATTTTACATGAATGTTTTGAAAACATAATTACTGATCATAAATTGTCTAGGGTTCGTCTATAAATTGCTATTCGATATGTCTTTCATTTGTATTCACTTGTCCAAATAATGTGTCATCAATAAGTTTTTAGGCCACGAACAAGAAAATGGTTCATTTTGTGTGCATTATACAACACTTTAATTTTCACTAAATAAAAATGGTTGATTCACTATAGGACGATTTATTTTATACGATATTTATACGATATTATCGTATTAGTCCTTACATCAATCTAAATTTGGTCAAAGTCTAGTGGTCTCCACCACTTCTTCAGAGGGGATTCTCTATCTCATTCCCACACCGGGCTCAGTTATAGTACTTGTATTGCAACAATGGACATTGTCGTGTCTGGCACTGGCCTTATTTAATAATCATCATCGTTCATAAAGTGGCAACATTTTTGTTTTTATTATATTAGGATATTTTTTTTATTTTTTACATTACAACACTGTTCATTACCACGCAGCCGCTTCATTTTGAACTCCCACATTTGACGTTTTGACGTTGACGTTAATATTCAATATAAACTATCTCTATAAACGTTCATAGCTTCCTGATTTCTGAACTGATTTTTGATGGGCTTTTAAACATTAAAATTTATATTCTTTATTTCTGCTTCACGTTTTAGCCTAGTATGATATCGTAAAATAATACTGAACGTTGTCAAAACTAAGTACACCCATAACTATTAGTAGTCATAACTTAGTCGCACAGTTTCAGTACAAGAACATACATAAATTCACACAGTTAGGAGAAGCTCTTTGATACTGTTCCGATAATGTTAAAGTTTCAACGCGTGTCCACCGAGACAAAACCTACTCAGACTGTGTCTATATTGAATCTTTGTAATATCACAGTATAACTATATTTATACCTACAATATTATGAACTACAAAGCTTTGAGTTTCATTATTCGCAAAATAGTTTGATAAATGGGATACTGGATATTTCTTTATTGCTTAGATGGGTGGACGATCTCACAGCCCACCTGGTGTTAAGTGGTTGCTGGAGCCCATAGACATCTACAACGTAAATGCGCCACCCACCTTGAGATATAAGTTCTAAGGTCTCAAGTATAGTTACAACGGCTGCCCCACCCTTCAAACCGAAACGCATTACTGCTTCACGACAGAAATAGGCAGGGTGGTGGTACCTACCCGCGCGGACTCACAAGAGGTCCTACCACCAGTAAATGGAATAATTGGATACTGATCTAGGAATACTGTATATGGTTAAAGTTATAAAACATGCTCCCTTAGCTCCGGAAGGTCATTCTTCATCTTCGGAATTAAAAAATAATAACGGAATAAAGTACTCGAAAGGTCAGGAATAACAAAATGAATAGATAGCATATGTCACTATTCTTAAAACTATTCCTTTTAAAAAATTATGTCACAGGCTTGCTCGGTTTCGAAAAAAAAACAAAAAGACACACTTTCACATTTATAATATTAGTATGGATTTATGGAACAGGCAATTTATTTTCAACGCAACTGAGACTTCAATCTCGTGTTTCTCCAAGATAGGGGTGGCATTAATGTGATGGTTGGTGAGCAGAGACTCGACTTCCTATAACATCTTGAAGTAGGTACATTTATTAATCGCGTGGTAATTGAAGTCGTCGTGGCCTAACCGATAAAACGTCCGGTGCATTCGTGTTGAGCGATACACCGATGAAGAAATAATATCGTGTAATAAAAATGAAACCCGCAAAATTATAATTTGCGTAATTACTGGTGGTAGGACCTCTTGTGAGACCGCGCGGGTGGGTACCACCGCTCTGCCTATTTCTGCCGTGAAGCAGTAATGCGTTTCGGTTTGAAGGGTGGGGCAGCCGTTGTAACTATACTGAGACCTTAGAACTTATATCTCAAGGTGGGTGGCGTATTTACATTGTGGATGTCTATGGGCTCCAGTAACCACTTAATATCAGGTGGGCTGTGAGCTCGTCCACCTATCTAAGCAATAAATAAAAAATAAAAAAACTTGAAGAAACGTAGTATAAAATAATTTTACCATAAACTCCCAAATCCTTTGTCCACATTAGAATATTCTATAAGCTCCAATGAATTACACCGAAATAGCGATAAATATTCATTGACCTTATTCAGCGTTCGTTACGTAATTACGTTCGTGATTTCCACTGTTTTCGGGTGCTTACTTTGAATATTAATTATAAAACAACAAATGTGTGATAATCTATGAAATGTCTACATAGCGTAACTTCGTATTTCGGATCCGAGAATAAGATTTACGATCGGTATTAAAAATAATTTTATCGGCTTAATTTAAGTTGTGATTTGTTACAGGTATCAACAAAAGAAGGTCAGAGTATAAGCGCAGCGCATGGTGCGTCTTTTAGCGAGGCAAGTGTCGCTGATAATTCTGGTGATCTCTACCGCTGCGTTGACCGACTATTGGCCGAAGTTCGCACGCCGCAACGCACGCGAAAATTCTCTGTTACCAAAATGCTTGGCTCGTTAATAGGTAAGCATAAAAATTAATTCAAATTTTAATTTGTTACTCATTGAATGAAACAAACGTCATACAAACATCTTACTATCAAATTTGTATAGAGAAACAAAATAATTTACAAAAAAAACATATCACAAAATAATGTTTTGAAGATTTAATTAGCGGTAATTGTTGTGTAAATGACTAATGTTACGTAAAGATTTAGTTAGTCGAGATTGCATCAAACTCCGCTAAAAATAAATTTCAAACAATAGACGTTCAAACTGGGCACTTGGCATCGGCGCGGTACCACAAAAATGTGGGAAACATTATAACGCCGACATTGTTCTGATGCCTGTCTTTTATACGATAAATGAAAACATTTCAAAATTGTTAGGACGTGCATAATTAGAAACAATTTAGTAGTTCAATAGTATTTTATAATTTTCAAATTAACATTATATTCTGACATCTATCAGTTCTCACATACAATCATAGATAAGTTTGCTCATCGAACTTTACCTTATTAACACCTCCCCTTAAAGTCGTGAGCTTTTAACAACAGACATCACAGATAATTATGATTATTCCATCATTCCTAAATTGTTCATGCATTCATAATGCTTCATCCCACACAAGCCCTTGGTCAAAATATCAGCAGGCATTTTGTCTGTACTCAAGTATTTCAAATCAATCACACTCTGTTCACACATATCTCGAACAAAATGGTGTCTAACATCAATATGCTTAGTGCGAGAATNGGGCTGACAGCTAACAATATGTCCGATTCGGCTTTTCCGTCCATTTTATTCCATTCAGAATATTTAGAATCTGAATGTATTGGTTTCGGTATTTTTCCTGATACGTATTCCCACAAATCATTCTTCTTCAGAATAGCTCGCATGTGAATCTTCCAGGTGTCATAGTTATCACCCGTAAGTCGATCAATATTAATATTAGAAGTCATTTCGTAGTTTCTTCAACTTCAAAAAAAAAATCAGGAAATAATTGACACAACGGATTACGCCTATTAAAACAATTAATCGTTAAATCATTTCTATTTCACTTTCTGCAACGTCCTGGGCCCATAACCTGTTAGGACGTGCATAATTAGAAACAATTTAGTAGTTCAATAGTATTTTATAATTTTCAAATTAACATTATATTCTGACATCTATCAGTTCTCACATACAATCATAGATAAGTTTGCTCATCGAACTTTACCTTATTAACAAAAATGATGATATGGTAAACACCAAAGTCATTGGATTTGTAACGTTTTATGAGATTAAAAGAACAAATTCCTCGCAACATCAAACAAAAGTAATAATAATTTAATGGTAGCATGAGTGTTTAATAAAACAATCAAATTTAAATAGTGTTTCTAATAAAAGATAAATTCGAAAAAGCATACGAAGCTTATACTCTACTAGGTACTACCACTAACATAAGTCGTAATAATTTATTGTTTATAATTTTAAAGTATATTCGCACACATATCACTTCTTTGCTAAATGAATCGATTGACCTTATTAGATTGCAATTAAGACTTCGACCTGAAGTCTTGAGATAGACACGCACACTCGCGTTTTTGAATTTCAGAATCTATCATATGAGATCAATATAATATGGGCCGAAAAAACACCTTGTGATGTAACGGAAATAGAACGGAAAAATCGGAACTTTGAATACAACGTCTTTTCATAATTTCTCAAAATGGTTTAAGTTTCCATCGTCACCTCAAATTTGGATAAAATATGTTTTTAATTCATTACGATTATGATTGTTATAGGTGGAGCAACAAATAACAGTCCCACGAACCGTAGCGGGTCAGTTGTAGCGTGCCCGCGGGTGCCGGCGACGTCGCGCGCCCCCTTAGCGGCCGCCGCGCCCTGACCGACGCATCCCGTGCGCTGATGTCTGCCTGGCGTTGTGTGGTTAGCTTGCCTGCCCGTACCTACCAGATTCACAACGCCACCGCTATCGGCGACCATGTAAACCTGACTCTAGTGACAAGGGCATTGATGCCTGGAACAACCTTGTGTCTTACATAAGTGCTTGCAGACTGTACCAGTGAACCTATGTTAGTGTGACACTTGAAAATGAATTTACTGCATGGCGGCTTCATATATTAAAGCTGACCTTTTTAAATGTGGAAAAATATCTGCTAGTCATTTCGGAAATGTCTACTTATCGCTCGGTAATGTTCTAAGCAAGAGTTTTAGTGATTATGTTATTTGGAATTAGTTATTAAGTGTGTGAATGTACTTTTGCAGAGACCTCAGTATTACACAGTATTTTAAACTAATGAGGAACGGTTTATCGTCTATTTTATCACTGCAGATATATATACTTTTGGGTACAATAAAGATTTCTAAATAAAAAATAAATTTTAAAACTTCCTCTTGTGAACACAACTGTCACTTAATTTCATCCATTTTCGATTTTTGTATTTTTATATGTGTACACTTTTACTGATTTAGTTTGCGAATTGTGTGACTGTACCAAGGATTAGTAGTTTTTTAATGTAACAAAAATCTCTACTCAATTTGATACTCAACTAGATAAGCTGGTATTCCTATTTAAATTGATGTGTTAATTATAATAGTAGATATTAGTAGTAATGCAAAAAATGTGATCATTTAAAAGTATAAATTTGTTAAGAAAATTCAACGTTTAATAATCAAATTTTACTGGAAAATAACGCATGTAAAAATGACGCATGCACATAACCAATTACAATAATATAAAAAAAATTAAAACAAAAATTAAAATTACAAATTTAATTTATTTTGATGCCAAATATTTTAGATATACAAACTTCGATTTTTTCACTATGATGTTGTAGTTTTTGCATGAGATTTTTCAAATCGTGCTAGACTATATGACTAGCAACTATCTATCTGATGGCCTAAATACGTACTTTTCTACTTTTACACAGTATTATTATTATTCTAAGTGTTTACTGAATAAATATGATGTTTTTTGTAATATTTCAGTTTAGTACTTTGACCGATAAAATTTAAATCTTCGATTTTTTTTAAATTGAGTATTAATTTTGACACTTGTGACTTTATTGATAAATGTTAATTCAACTATGCATAATGTAATTGTATTCTAATCCTACAATGTTTATAGAGAAAAAATGTAAACAAATTTTATTAGTCATTTTCTAGTCATAGGATAAGGGCTGTGAAAAGACATTTGATGTGTGCAGATTAATTAAAATATTTAGTTAGACCCCTGTATATTTTAAAATATGAGATTTTAAAGAGAATATTCAATATAAATTTCTATTTTCTATCTAAAATATCAAAATTTACAAATGAAAGAAAAATATTTAATGTAATAATATTTGAATTGCCATATAAAACAAAGTACCTTGTATGTTTATAAGAATTGAAAAGCTGTAAATATGAAAGCGTGGAGATGTGACTATAACGAAGTCGGAACTGATCGGAATAAGAATGTAAATATTTATTATTTAGCTTTAAAATTTATTATTAAATGTTACCAATACCTATATGATTTTTTTAATACCTTCCTTTCTTCAATACCCCTATTGTTATGATTTTCCAAAACCTTTCTATTAATTTTCATAAATTACCTGTTAACTAGTGGTCCCGCAGTAGTCGAAATTCGACTTTAATTAATTGAAATTGTAAGTTTGTACACTATTATGATTATATTTTCAAAGACTATTTATTATACTTCTATAATCACAAATTTCGCCAAGACTACACTATAGAAAAATATTAATAAAGACAAACAATATTTAATCTATTCTCAATTTGACCACAGACGTCAAGAACAAAAATTTGACAATAAATAAATAGTATGCATGCGTGTGTGTGTCAAATACATGGGGTAGTGTATGTAATGTTTTTTTTATTGATTTAATGTATTGTTTAGGTATAATTTAAAAAAATATTAACATTCAGCACTCCTTCTCTATATTCTCTATAAGTGTGGGAAATTTCATACTCCTCCGCCCGCGCAATTTTCGTAAAAAGGGATACAAAGTTTTTCCTTCGCGTATTAATATATAGATAATAGATTCTTGAAGCACTTATATAAGAAAAATGTTTTGTGCTTTTATATTCAAAGAATCTAATACGTATTAATGCATAATTGTTAAAAATAATAATTCTGATATAGAGGTTCAATATGAAACTTATATTACCCACCCTATGCGGCAGATCCCACCGCCTGGTGGATTTCTGAAGCGTCATGCATTGTAGCTTGAAGAGTAGGTCTACCGCTGCTACAATACTAATGGGAGCATGACCTCATATCTCAAGGGAGTCTACAGCATTCACGTTGCTGTTGTGTCGTTATTGAATCAGTTTCACACACATATACTAGAGATAAGAAACAGTCTGCTGTGAAAATAGCTAATATTAAAATAAAAGCCTATACCAAAAGAGTAGTTCGGTAGGCAGCGGCTTGGCTCTGCCCCTGGCATTGCTGAAGTCCATGGGTGACGGTAACCACTCACCATCAGGTGGGCCGTATGCTCGTCTGCCTTCATGGGCAATTAAAAAAAAAAGAGTAGCCGATACCAAATTAGTTAAATTTCATTTCAATCCATAGCTTATTTTTAATACACTTTTTTATTCGACAGATCGATAAGAATTACAGATTGATACGTGGAGGGGAGATTTTTAATTCTCGGCTTATAAATGTTATGATTGTGGTAATTCCCAATAGGAAAACATTTTGGAAGAGTAGGTCTGTTTGAGGTTCTACCAAAGCAGTAGCGTGCGAGTTTGAACGGTGGGATAATCGCTAAGCAATACAACTGAGACATCGACCTCACGTCCCAAGAACGATTCCGAAAACCACAAAACACTAGGTGGGCCTTGGGCTTAACTAACTGTCTATAATAAATATTCTACTTTAGAGTTTAGACTTTGAAATTAATTAGACAATTGTATACTTCACTATTTTTTCTATTATTGAATAGATGAGTATGCGACCGCGTTCACTTACTTCCACATTGTAAATGCCCATGGGCGATATCGGTTGGCCTTATGTTCGTCTACCTAAAAGGGTAATAAAAAAAGACATTCTGCACTATTTCCATATCATCCGTCCGAGCTTGTAGTATCCTTATACTCCTCGGTCGGCGGTGTATCGCGTTCCGACCCGGCAGGCTGGTTCTGGCCCAGCGGGGTGTCCCGAAACACCAGCGGCATCGCCTGGGCGGCCTGGTAGGGCCGCCGTACTGCGGAGACCGACGTCATCGCTCGTCGACTATCGCCTCGACGACCCGTCGGTTGGGCGTCCTCGGGGTGGCGCCGCGTGTCTGGTTGTAGTGTTGACCGCGAGAACCCCCCTACTCTGACCGGGTTTTGACCCCGGACGGAGATCGGACGTCGGGTGTAAGAGTGCAGGGGAATCGTTTAGTGGGTGGGCCCTAAAATTCCTTGGCCCCGTGGTCTGCTCTCAACACCTGCAGATCGTTGAGTCCCACATACCCCGCGCGCACTCTAGGCGCGGGGACCTCGTAGGAGATTCGGCCACCGGCCCTCAAAAAAGAAAAAAAACCTTATACTCGTACTCCTACTTCAATCTCCGGTCGTGTACTTTCAACATTAAATACTGGTTCATACAACCACTATGCTCATTTCTGCCGCAAAGCAAATGTAGGTTCCAATTTTGTATTAGAGTAGTTATTATTATTATAGTTATTTGGACTTCGATTGGACAGTCGTCATAACAAAAAAATCGATTCTTCGGCGACATTCATGCAGCGATTTCTATGTGTACCGGTAACAACTCAACATCAAGTGAACCGTGAGCTTGTCCATCCAGCGATTGCAAAAACAGTCGCAATCTCAAAATGGGCAGCAGAATCCTCGGTATCGAATATATCGGGTACGATATCTGTTTAATATAAGGTCGGCCATTATTTCATTTGGCCATTTACGATAAACAGAAATAGTAGTGAAACATTTACTATAACAATACTACATTTGTTCTGCAAACCATTTGACCTAAACAAAAGCACTTGACAGATAATTCGGTGATTCTATTATATGTATGCGAGTAATACAAACACACAAAAACATTGATAAGTTAACAAGGAAGCCCCGTTATATCACAACACGTTGCCTTCACAATGTAATTGAAACATAAATCCTATATAGAATGATGAACGAGGTTTTTATCTTGCGCACCGCTATCCCGGTAGCTGACGCGTAAAATAAATTATTTTGATATGAACATAAGACGCGCTTATAGTAAATGTTTCAATTTGAATTTTAATGAAAAGATCCATCACACGGGGACAGGTTAGAAAATTGTCTTGTGAATTCTAATACCAAATGATAATGCTTAACAATAGCCACGTAGGCTCCAAGCCGCGTAATCACAGAGCCTCATATCAAAGCTGATACGTTATGTTTTCCTTTTCTTTTTATCTTTTATGCTAGAAATGCACGTATCTATCTGCACAGCTTGAAATTCGTTAGTAAGTCCGGCATCTGGCTGAAGAAACTTTTATTTTTTGTTTCAATCAATGGTTTACTGCCCACTTGCTCATAAGTAGCTACCGCGTTGTTTATGGACATCAGCAACGCTCAATTCATAGCCAAGCTGCTACCTACCACGAGTCGTTACACACTTATTTAATGTATATACATAATGGTTTATTCTTGTTGAATATTACTGCTCAATACTTTCTGGAATCATAATCTCTATAGACTGATACGTTATTCATTTCGTTCATAATTAAAAAATGAAATCTTAAAAAGAAAAGAAAAATTACAATTTGTCACATACGTTATTTGATATAACGAAGACACATGTCAGTTTAAATACATCTTTACATTAGTCAGACAGTGCCGAACTGATTCAGGATCACGATCACGAGTCAACGAACCCTGCTCCATTTAAGGCTACCCATTTATTATAAGATGAATCAGCACACTAATTATAAATGGGCACAACTTGTATTTTCGTTCACAAAATAAATAGAACAAAAGTTACATGCTGTGTGCTAGCTAGCGTTTGACACATTTCCTTCTAAAATTAAAAGAAACATTAACCGAATAATTATCGGACGGTATGTATGTGTAATGAGAGGCACGGCTCGGAGTCGACATTCGTACACGCGCCGCCGGTATAAATCATATTCGCATCCCCGAACAATGCTCAGCGGAGAGATGAGAGGGGTGCGCACCCCAGCTGCGTGGCCCGATCGATCTGTGGACCACTTCTCGCCACTGCACGACAAACTGTCATTCAACGCGGTTCCTAATTCAAACGTTTTATATTTTTTTTAATGTTACGGTCAATGTGAAATGATAATTTATTAATTGTTTACAAAATGGAGGGGCGGAGGAATTGGGATGGTGTACCTTTGGGCGAGTCGCATTCGCCGCCGCAGTCGGTGCCTGGTCGAAGGACGCCGCTTGGAGCCGTGGGCCTCGGTGGCTTTTACATGCAAGGAGGACAGCCTCCGCCCCCACAACATTATTATCCTACGGACGAGAACCAGCCAGAACCAGGAACCAGCTATGGACAAAGGTATTTACAGTCTACGCTCGTTATATTGCATTAAACTTAAACAAAAACAAAATAAGTAACAATCAACAGTATCATAGAATAGAACTAAAATTTATTCATAAAGTTCCACACTACATGAATTTCATTATAGTTTTTCCGTCCATTTCAGTCGCGCATGCGCGAAATCTTAACAAAATAAAAACATCGTCCGCCCAAAGTTATTCTCTACAAATATTTAGTCATTTATCCAAATAACTTATCAATTAGTATCGGAATAGAGATAACAGAATGCAAAATTTACTAATAAATCTATTGCAAATAAGCTTGTGACTAAATAAAACATTACAATAATATGGTCAACAATGTCTGTGAACCGTATAGGCCGAGATATATCGTTTTCATTTCGTTAATTAATACTAATTAGAGAGATCCTCACGCATCATCGTCACATTGAATTTTTTAATAAATAAAACCTTATTAGGTTTTATACACCGTCATTCATGCGTTCAATGTGTTAAATATTGACAAACACGATATTTAAAATATAACAAAACATTCAACAATTCGCCGATTTATAATTGGCCCAAAATGTCTTCAGTTTTTTGAGTCGTATGTCAGTAACGCGAAATTTGCTGTCATGTATCTATCTCCCGGTCACTCACCTTTACCGTCTGTTTTTTTTTACTGGGGAAAATAGGCAGACGACTTTGCAGCCCAAACCAAACACATGATTAATCTGTGGAAGTACGAGGAACTATGGGACTAATCTACGCGAGCCCAATACAAGTAATATGTTAACGTAGCTTAATTCATCGTGGTCTGAAGTATAAGATTCCAAGTGCCCATTAATTCCGTCCAGCGGAATAGGTGCTCTGTCTTCACGGATCTAATTAATTCCCAGATTTTCTTCAATCACAACTTCTTATCTCAAAATCGGCTTTTCTCTCTTGCGTCTTTGTTAATTACATAATACTATTATAGCGGCATAAACTTTCAGCTAACGATCAATGAAGAGCTATCCAACATGTTGATATATGACGATTAACAAAAACATGCAGTACTAATGCACCATCTGTGCACAATAGAACGAAGCATGTCCCTCCCTTACACTAAGAATTGATCGTGATTTTTGTAACTAGAGTCCCATAGAGTTACGAAGAGTTGCGAAATGACATACTCTGCTTTATTTTTCATCTTAACTTTAATTTATAATACTATTTCTGACAATCAGTTCTTTTAAAGGTTTTTGTTGTGTCTAATACCAAGTATTCGAAATAGAGGATTTCATGAAATCAGCAAATTAATTAAATCGATGTCACCGTATCAAAAACAAAGTGAAACATTTAGTTTTGTATTAATAATTATCAATTCTAAAGTTTCATTGTACAAATTTGTATGTATTATTTAGGTCAAATGTGCTCATTTTGCACAGTGGAATGTGTTTTTTTTATTGCCCTTGTAGGCAGACGTATGGATTCTGTCCAATGAATTGGTGTTATGTAAATCATAATTCACGTTATTATGTTATTTATACTGTTGGTTCATACTAAGTACTTCGTTTGAAGTCGTCGTGGCCTAAAGGATAAGACGTCCGGTGCATTCGTATATAGCGATGAAACGGTGTTCGAATCCCGCAGGCGGGTACCAATTTTTCTAATGAAATACGTACTTAACAATTGTTCACGATTGACTTCCACGGTGAAGGAATAACATCGTGTAATAAAAATCAAACCCGCAAAATTATAATTTGCGTAATTACTGGTGGTAGAACCTCTTGTGAGTCCGCACGGGTAGGTACCACCGCCCCGCCTATTTCTGCCATGAAGCAGTAATGCGTTTCGGTTTGAAGGGTGGGGCAGCCGTTGTAACTATACTTGAGACCTTAGAACTTATATCTCAAGGTGTGTGGCGCATTTACGTTGTAGATGTCTATGGGTTCCAGTAACCACTTAACACCAGGTGGGCTGTGAGCTCGTCCACATATCTAGGCAATAAAAAAAATAAAAAAAACTAAGACTACTTAGTTTTGTGTGCCCGCACAGGAATTTACCATTATCCAGCCTATATCTGCCGTGAAGCAGTAATGCATTTCGGTACTTTTAACTGAGACTTAGAACTCATGTCTCAAAGTAGGTGGCAGCATTGACGTAGTTGATGTCTATGGAGTTCGGTAACCGCTTAACACAAAGTGAGCCGTCAGCTGGTCCACATGTCTATACCATAAAAAATGTGACCGCTATGTATTATAATTTAATTTTTGCCGCTCTAATATCTACTATGATCGTATTAAATTGTATTCAACGTCACCCTTCCTTCGTTATAAATTTCTGCTATTGTTCTCTTCGTCATTTGCCACTTGTTCCACCCTATGGCAAAACCGGCCTTTACCGATGGTTAACGATTAAAAATTCTTAGAACAAAAAGTTAAAAAAAAATGCCCAAATACAAAAGGTAGAATATAGCTCTAGTGCAATTATAAATGAATTTAATAATAAACATATGCTTTAAAGAAAGGGGTAAATAAACAAAAAAAAATTAAATTTACGATGCATTCACTATATATTGGAAGAAATAGTATTAAGATAAGCCCGTCTCCAACGATGAGAATTTTCTGACTTGAATATATCTTACATCAATTAGATGGTAGCATTTCGTATAACAATCATACTAGCTAACGTGACAGACGGCATTCTGTCCAAATCTCAATAAATCAATCTGTTTATTTTCTTTCACAATTTTCTTTCACTAAAGTTGTGCTCTGACTGTTACGAAAATTAAAGAAAACAGCCGTTTTCAAGTCTGGAACTAACCGCATTATAAAAGTTTCCGGTTAATTTTAATGGATTTTTATCAATTTTAATATTTTTTTATTTCCTTTGATACGTGGACGTGCTCATGGCAAATCACAACGCGAACGGACTCCATTCGCCTTGAGGTGTGGAAATATCAATGGTGTATAATTCCAACTAACCTTCAAACTGGAGCGCGCCGCGGCCCCGTAACGTACGGTTGTACCACCATTTAAAATGAAAATAATTATTATTGATGACTAGCTGACCCAGCAGACTTCGTTGTGCCTCAATCGATAAAAAAAAGACACATCAAGGGGACACATCAAAGGAAAATCAAAATTGTTTGTTTTGATATAATTCCGAGCTTTTTTATATTTTCTCACCTTTTAAACCTTCCCTGGACTTCCATGAATAATTCAAGACCAAAATTAGCCAAATCGGTCCAGCCGTTCTCGAGTTTTAGCGAGACTAACGCACAGCAATTCATTTTTATATATAGAGAAGATACATGATTTTTACATATTTTATTTCAGGCCAGTCAACGAAAGTAAATCGAAACATAAGATGCGACAAGGTAAAACTGTGCGCCTGAACATAAACGCCCGTGAACGAAGACGTATGCACGATTTAGTAAGTTTTTAAAACGTTTTTACTGATGAGTTTAAATTTAATACAATTAAGTAATTTTTTTATGACAGAAAGGTTACTGGTAGTCCCGGAGACCTTTCCAGTTTCACTAGGACAGGTGGGCGAGCAAAGGCTCAGCCAGGAGGGGTGGGATTTGCTAACAACTGCCCGAGCGCCTCCGAAGGAGACCTAACAACTCAAGAGCAATTGCTTCGCGAATGGAATAATTGTTCTTGAACGTTTAACGTTATTGAAACTGAACGTACATATCCCTAAATTATCAATGTCATTATTGAATAAACATAATCTATTCCTGTAATCTACTATATCAAGAGTCGGAGAGATAGATGTGTTCAATGGAATACGCGATTATATAATGCCTTTGATGTTTCAGAATGACGCCTTGGACGAACTCCGAGGTGTGATACCATACGCTCATTCGCCGTCCGTACGAAAGCTGTCAAAGATAGCAACGCTTTTATTGGCCAAGAATTATATTATGATGCAGGCTAGCGCGTTAGAAGAACTACGAAGGTTAGTTTACTAGTTTTTTTATTTCCAGCAAAGGCAAACAAATAACTATCGATGCCTATGCCAGGGGCATAGTCAAGGAGCACTGGAGGTAAGAAATGAGTCTCAAGCATCGCCGAATTCCAAAGTTATTTTCGTAATTATGGAGTTTTGTCTTTAATTTTCAATTGAAAAAAATCTACGGATTTCACACAAGTTAGTATCGGTTCACCTCGAAATCAAATTGGAGTGATCAAAACAAAAATTAAATTTCCGGTTTTCGTGAGTTGTAGACATAATTAAAACTTTATTTACGGTTTAATCGCATATATGTGCGATGCTTTCAATTTAACATATTTTTTGTTAGAATTAAGGAGCACACTGTGGATATAAAGAATAACCGGGTACACACACACAGGTCTGCCTGCAGTTTGTTAGCATGATTTGAACAATGGCACCTTATATTTTTTAAGATCAGTCAAATTGCTTATATTCGCTAAAGAAACCGATTTATACTGTAATGTATGGTACAAAAGTTTGTTTAAATAAGATATACACTGACTTTAATAGAAAGTAGCTGCCATTGTTCTATCGTAAAGCTCCAAGTCAAACTAATTACCACAGTTTGAAGTACTGTTAGTTATTTTTGTTTGCAAAGAAATGCAAACTATCAACTCATCCAACTTTCATCAATAAATCCATACTTTAATTTTAATAAAAAAAATCAAAAGCATGTTGTAGCCGATATGCAATTCTATTTTCACCTCATGTCTCAAGCTGGGTCGCAGCGTTCACGTTATGATATCTACAGACTCCGGTAACCGCGTAACATCGGATCAGCCTTAAGATATTTCACACATTAACGAAAAATAAAAAAACTCACACAATTTCCCAGTGGTTTTAACCATAGATCGTAGAACTACGATCGATAATATAAAGTCTAATCAACGCAGACCGAAAGCTAACTATCAAATATAGCTGTTTAATGGATACAAATGCCGTCATAGACTTACAAAGCCATGACTAAATTAACTGCCCTTCTCGGTAGCGTCACGATTGCTTCTGATTTACCGAAAAGCTCAGCTGTGTATACAAAGTCGCGTTTGTGTCATTACTTGCAATAGTTTACAATTACAATCTCACGTGATTCAACGTCAAAAGTAGATTTGTAGTAATATGTTAGGTATACGTCGGAATTTACGTCAGCATCGACATAGTTGGAATCTGCATTCACAAATGTTGCTAAATTTCTTAGAGCAAAGTAATTACGGTAATATTTACTAACATTACAACATTACATTACTTACTAACATTACAAAATATTACAGAAACATTTCGTGGTTGTTTCTTTGAAAATTGTCAGTTTAGGAGATTTTAACGCACTTTGAAATTGAATATAATTTTTTTTTTTTTTGCTTAGATGGGTGGACGAGCTCACAGCCCACCTGATGTTAAGTGGTTACTGGAGCCCATAGACATCTACAACGTAAATGCGCCACCCACCTTGAGATATAAGTTCTAATGTCTCAGTATAGTTACAACGGCTGCCCCACCCTTCAAACCGAAACGCATTACTGCTTCACGGCAGAAATAGATCAGGGTGGTGGTACCTACCCGAGCGGACTCACAAGAGGTCCTACCACCAGTAATCACGTGTTTTGTATTTACCTCGTGAAATTCGTTTGATTCCAGACTTGTAGCGTACTTGCAAGGTACGGCAACGGCGGCGGGTATTGTGCCCCCACCGGGCTTCGATCTAGCCGGTTTTCCAGCGGCAGCCAAGCTCCTTCAGCCTCCAGCTCCGGGCCCTCCACCGCCCCCAGAACCACCCTCTTGAGATTCACTCGTAAAACTTGAACCGTAAGCCGTCACGAATCTAGTCATTGTATAATAACTGTGACGCGAAAAATAAAAAATAAATTTATTATAAAATAAGGAGCTAGCGAAAAGAACCTAAGATGAAGACAATGTAATAACAGTGAAAAATATAAAATTAGCTTGACTCGTTGTTTTATATAAGGAAATACATAAATTTAAAAAAAATGTATGCAATTTTCGCAATGTAGGTTTTAATAAAATAAAAAAAATTCTTTAAAACGATTGTAATACTTAAATTAGAATATTTAATGTGCTTATTATTAATTGTAGTTATTCGGTGTATAATATTCTATAAACAGATATCTCAAATACACGTGTCTGTAGTACGCTCATTTAAATTTAATTATAGTATTTAGTCTAAATATAGTTGTTTAAAAACAAAGACCCTTTGCGGTCGTTAAAATCGTCCAATGAAAACGTTTACTCAATACCTACCTGGCTCCAATAATATGTGTTATTTAAAAAGTAGATTTGTTTAAAAATTTACCATTCTAAGATTGTTTTAAATTTTATAACATAATATTATAAATTTCATACGTTAAGTTAATACAAACTTTGGCACAAATCATATTCCGACGATTTCATGTTTTATCTGAATATTTTTTATTAGCAGAGTAAGTCTAGATTTAGTGACTGCATGATCTACTAAAATTATATAAATTATACGTTAATAATCACTGATCAGTATTTAAATAGCGGAAGTAAAATTTATATGATGTTTTTAGAATTGAAAAAATTGGGAAAAATTGGCTATTTGCGAAGCTTTACAATGCAGGCCGAGTTCCCATCTCTCATTTTCAGTTTTTAATATGTATTTAATAAACATCACAGAAGATAAGTACGACGAACGAACGCGGCACTTGGTATGCTGAACACTATAACTCATTAATATTTTTATTTTTCTTAAAAGTGACCATTAAATAAAAAATAATAAATAAAAAAATATATCTAACCTAAACACGATATGCCAATAAATATAGACATTTAAATTATAAGACCATGCACATACACAAAATTGAACATATTTCTATAAGTCAATATTTTTTATCCGGAACCAAACTAGTTCTGTTGAGCATACTCCTCACACATTGATGAAAATAGATATAAAATAAAAAAGTACTGCATTTCCCATTCGAATTATTTGAAGCAAGTTGTGAAAAATGCGATATAGCATGTCATTATAATAGGTTGGGGAAAAGTCTTTTCGCATTATAGTATGTACTAGCGACCCGCCCTCGCTTCGCTTCGGAAACTGTAATTTATTACTGATTTTTATACTATTTAATGGATATTTTTATACATATAAACCTTCCTCTTCAATCACTCTATTTATGAAAAAAAACCGCATCAAAATTCGTTGTGTAGTTTTAAAGATTTAAGCATACCTACATAGGGACAGACAGATATAGGGACATAGAAAGCGACTTTGTTTTATACTATGTAGTGATAAACTGGTAATAAAATCTCTTTGGCTATACTATTTGTACCGGGCTGGTTTTGGTATCATTAAAAGTTAAAATTTTAAAGAAGATAATTACAAATTAAATTTAGGAAATTTGTGATTTTTATTTATTTTTCGTACTGTCAAGATGAGTGAACCTAATGAAGAAAATCGATACATTTTAAAATTTTACTACAAAAAAGGTAAAAATGCAACGCAAGCCGCGAAAAAAATTTGCGATATCTATGGACCTAGTGCAGTGTCTGTGAGAGTAGCACAAATTTGGTTTAAGCGTTTTCAATCCGGAAATTTTGACGTAAAAGATGCACGTCGCTCTAGTCGTCCTAGTATTACGGATAAAATGGATGCCATTTTTGAAAAAGTGGAGCAAGATCGGCATATCAGTAGTTACGACGTAGTTAAATAACTGGGAATTGACCACAAAACAGTTTTGGCGCATTTGAAAAAAAAAGGGTACAAGTTGTGATTCTTTATTATGACGTGATGATACCGAAACATTTTTGAAGAGCCTGATAAGTGGTGCTGAAAAGTGGATCACGTACGACAAGAACGTGCGAAAAAGGTCGTAGTCAAAGGCCGGTCAGGCTTCACAGACCGTGGCGAAACCCGGGTTAACTCGCAACAAGGTTATGGAAGGGCATTATTTATTATGAGCTGTTACCACCAGGCAGGACCATCGATTCTGAGTTCTACTTCGAACAACTGATGAAATTAAAGCAAGAAGTTGAGAGAAAGCGGCCGGAATTAATCAACCGAAGGGGTGTGGTTTTCCATAATGATAACGCTAGACCTCACACATCTTTAGCCACTCAGCAAAAATTAAGACTTGGCTGGGAGGCTTGGCTGGGAGGTGTGATCTTGCACCTTGAGATTTCCACCTGTTTCGGTCTCTTCAGAATTCTTTAGGCAGTGTCAGGTTAACATCACGAGAGGACTGCCAAAACCAATTTTGTCGCGATATTTTGATCAGAAGCCCCAACATTTCTATAGCAGTGGGATCATGTCCCTACCTACAAGATGGCAAAAAGTTATCGAACAAAATGATACCTACATACTTTAGTTAATTGTAAATAAGCTATATTAAATTATTTTGTGAATTTTCTTAAAAAATGCGAAGAATTTTTTTCCCCAACCTAATACTATTATAGTTATAATACCAATGGAGTGTCAATGAATGACATCTATTGTCATCCAATTTTCTTGGCTTTTTTTAGCATCGATACATTATAATATTTTTGAATTACTTCTACAGCTAAGACAAATTAGATAATCTACAATGCTTAAAAATAATATTTAGGTCTCTAGAAATTATAGTAATTAGCCAACATTAATCTTAATGACTAGAATAATCTATCTGTGAGAATGCACAGAAAGCTGTGAATCAATGTGCCAAATGACGTGTAGTTTATCCTCAAAATATCTAGACATAACATTTGTAAATGTTAGATTATGTCCTGGAATCGAGGGGGCTTAGAGTAAGTTAAGATTAGAACTTTTAATATTCTTTTTTTGTAAATTTCAAATCCAGTTTGTATATTATATCATTTTTCACAATGCAACTTACGCAATATTTTTGGTAAGTGCGATGTTTTTTTCCAAATAAACTATATAATAAAGTAGCTGATCAATCTGACAAGTTTAATATATTATCTAGTTTTCGGTCATTAAGCTATAAAAGTATAAAAGTTGACGAAGATTCCCATCTTTAATAATCGATCAAAGATTAATCGATTTTTTATACTTTAGATTAGTAAATCAATACTTTGTTTGTTCGATGTACCATTTTTTTATATAAAATTATGTATACTAATAAATTGCAGACAATGGAAGAAATATGAAATATAAAATGTTTATTTGATAAATGTAGTATTGTATTGTATAAAGTTTGTAAGACGTTTTTCACCAATGCCTTTGATCACGTATATAATTATTTCTAAATGTATATCAGATTTAAACATTTAATCGGAGACATTGATATATTTTATGTATCTTTTTACTTTGACACAGTTATGTCCGAAAGTCAAATAATAACATAAATGTTATAGTAATTTTTTTAATCGATAAGTCCTCGGCAACATTAATGCTCTAATTAAACGTGATTACTACTAGTATTAAATAATTGTAATAATGTCCTGAATTAAATTATGACTGTGGTGAAAATGATATTAAATAATGAAGTAGTATTTTATTTCTGAATTTTTTAGAGGGCACTGACCTCAGAAATCAATCACCCTTTTCAAAAGTAGGTAACGAAAAATGTATGATTTGAAAAGTGTTCTAACTAAATAATGAAACATGTTTTGTTTTAGTCTTTTCTTTGTTTTTCGTAAATCGTAATTAAAATTACAAGTACTATCCGATACCTAGTCGTACGTGACTACGAAAACAGTAAAGTATTTGAAGCGTCGGAAGTAATAATCATAATAAAAAAAATAAAAAACGCGATATTAAACTTATTAAATTACTATTTTTCCTTGACAGAAAAACCAAATAAAAAAATGCCGTATCATATTAACGACCACAGATAATTATAATTATATCCGTTTCTGCATCAAAAAGGATCCACGAACATGAGACACTTTTGCCAACAGAATATGTATTGTAAGAAACAATAATCACGTACCTACACATTAACTCGTCATTTTGCATTAAATAGGCAGATTAGTTCACGGCCAACTCGGCTACCAGAGCCTATAGAAATAAATTGAAAATCTCACTTTAGAGAAGTGGGAACTTATACAGTTGCTATAGCTTATACATATCACAAAACACAAACGAGGTACTAATTACATCTCTATTGTACGACGAAGTACTTTTTTTTCTCAAAAGGGAAAGTGTTTCAGTGCAACAAACAATTCCTTTTGAACAATGCAAATAATTTGTTAGAAGTAAGAACTTTTTAAAAAAATCAATAAAACAAAAAGAAGCGCTGCGCGGATAAAACCAGATACGTAGATTAAAATTCAGTATTTGGATATTTATATAAAGATTAAAGTTTATAAATATCACTTTTTTAAGTGAAATAATAAGGTTTTTTCAGATTTGTATGAAAGCGCCCTCTAGCTAAACTACATTGTAACTATTACCAGCGATGTAGGAAAACACCCGCGGCATCATCAGATTTTCTGAATGAGTACGAGATGACGCTATGAAAAACTTTTTTACAGTCGTGCACAAATAAACCTGTTAGCTCGATACTCATATGTGCCATTGTATTGGAATGTCTTGCTACTAAGGCATACCATCGGTCTGCCTATTTCTGCTGCGAAACGGTCATGTGTTTCTGTTTGATGAATCAGATACCCGCTATATAATGCAGTTGCGATATATCCTGATGTGTCAAGGCTGGTGACAAAATTGTTTTGGGATGTTGATTATACTATAAGACTTTTTTTTGGCTTCAACGCTCTAGGACTTTTTTTGGACCGTTGATGAGCTCACGGTCTACTTGATGTTAAGTGGTTACCGAAGCTCCTAGACATCCACAACTTAAATGC